TGTCTCCGCCCCTCCTACCCCTCTGGATGAATGTGGCTTCTTTAAATCCTTGGTTGTTGGACTTCCTCACAGCTCGGTTTTCTGATGGTTCTGGGTGGTATTCGTTTTCTAGTGTAGATGTAATTTTTTTCTGTAGTAGTGTGCATGGGTGGAGTGTGTTTACCTATGCCTCCATCTTGGCCGGAAGTTTCCTTTTTCTTAATGGTGACTTTTGAAGAACATGATTTTTAATTTTGATGAAGTCCAGTTTCTAATTTTTTTATGGTTCATGGTTTTAATGTTCTATCTAAGATTTTTACTGATCTCAAAATTGCAAAGATTTTCTTTTGTGTTTTCTTCTATAAGTTTGATGGTTTTAGTACTCACATTTAGGTCTGTGAAACATTTTGAGTTCATTTTGTGTATGACGTTAGGTAGGGGTTTTTCATTTAGTTTTGTATAGGTATCTGGTAGTTCCAGCATCACTTACCTTGGCATCTTGTCGAGAGAGTCAGTTGACAAGCCTGTATATCTATCCTTTTGCCAGTGCCACATTGTCTTTATTGCTCTAGCTTTATAGTACGTCTTACAGTTTGGTAGTGTAGCTTCTCCAACTTAAAAAAATCACTTTGGCTTTTTTAGGTCATTTGCATTTCCTAATTAAATTTTAGAATCGTCTTGTCCATTTCCGTAAAAAGTGCCTGCTGGGAATTTAATTGGATTGTCCTAAATCTGTAAATCACTTATGGAAGAATTGACATCTTAACAGTATTGAGACTTTAAATTTATGAACATGGTATATCTCTCCATTTATTGATATCTTTATGTAGTATAGGAATCCCTAAATGGAGAGCTGCTTGAGTGTTCATGATATTAAAAATAAAAAGACCACCAGGTGGACTAGGCGATGTGGACATGCCATTTATTACTCAGATTACAGGGTGTACACCGAGGGCAGGAGGTCCTTCAGTCTGAGGCTCATTATAAGGGGTCCAAGACAAAGGAGGCACATGTCCTATGTGTGACTCTAGACTATATTACCTCATTGTGTACCAGCAGAAAGAGAAAGTCAAGAAGCAGTCACAAGACAAGAAACAGCTCCTAAAAGGAGATAAGGAGGGAGTTACAATCTGTTCCTAAAACAATACACATTCCTTCTGGCCAGAAGGTGCTCTGGCCAGGGGTGCTCTGGCCAGTCGTCACCTTTCAGCATCTTTGCCCACTGATGGGTAGTTTATGAGTTCACCTGCCCACTCCATGCTGCGTGTTTAGCAGTTTCTGACCAAAACCAGCATGTCCCCCATGCCCCACCCTCCCTATTCACCCCCAATCTCATCCTGAGTGACTTCGTTTGTTTCCCTGATGAAAAAAGTCCTCAAAGGGAGATGTCGATGTGAAAGAGGTAAAACAAAAATGACAGAAGCACTAAAATGTATCAAAATCAGAGTTCACAAACTGTTCTGAGCAGTGGGAAACAATGTCCTTCCTTTCCTTCCTCCTCCTGCCCTCCCTCCCTCCCTCTTCCCATCTTTCCTGCCTTCTTCCTTGGCAGTCACATCTAGGCGTCAGGGTTTCAACACTATGTTTTTCTAAACAGGGTCTGTCTACTTGATAATTTCATTGAATGCCTGATAGGCATCTGAGACTTAACAATAAAAAATTAAAATGCTCTTTGGATCATTCTTCTTGAAACTGTTCTTACAGTTTTTCCATATCGATTAATGGCAACTCATTTTTATTTTTTCATTTGTACCGGCCAGTCTGTATCATTTTGCCATTGTTATTTCAAATGAATAAAAAACTAGGATGAAAGTCTGGTTATACTGATAAGTGTATGTTTCATAAACTTAACGAAGTTTGCATAAAGATGGTAATCATTAGTATCCTGAAAGCACACCAGGCTTTCTCTCAAATTGGATGCTTGATGCATTAAGGTTGATGTCTCTGTATAGTAAGTCCATACTTAATGTTATCAATAGGTTCTTACAATAAATCCTGTAAATGTATTTTTTTCTTCTTTATGATATTCTTAGTAACATTTTCTTTTTCTAGCTTTCTGTTTTTGAGAATATAGTACATAATACATATAAGCTATGAAATGTGTTCACTGTTTACGTTATCTTTAAAGCTTCTGGTCAAAAGTAGGCTATTAGTAGTTAAGTTTTGGGGGATTCAGAAGTTCTATGCAGATTTTTTTACTGTTCAAGGGTCAGTGCCCCTAACCTCTCTGTGTAGTTCAGGGGTCAGCTGTACTTGTTTTCTCAGCTTTTCTTCATCTTTTAGGACATTGACATTTTTGAAGTACACATGCCATTTATTTTATATGTTGTTTCTCCATTTTTATTTTTTGTTGTTTCTCTATGATCAAATTTAGGTTATGTTATTTGGGTAGAAAGCTATGTAAGTAATACTGTGGTCTTTGCAAGATATCACACCTAGAGTCATGTGATAGCCATTTGCTACCTTTTGGTGGTCTTAATTTTGATCTCTTGGTAAAGATAATGTTTGTTTTCTCCATTGCATATTTTTTTTCCTTTTGTAACTAAAAAACAATCGTGGGTAGATACTTTGTGACTCTACATTCCAAATCAAACTTTCACCACTTAGGTTTAGGATCCATTGCTGATTCTTACTTGAATCAATTTATAACTTTTAATTTTGATATAATTTCAAACTTAGAGAAAAGTTGCAATAATAGCATAACGAACCTCCATATACTCTTTACTCCAATTCAGTGTTTTACACTTTACATTTTGAATCTGTAAAATGGGGATATAATAAGAGTAGCTATCTCAATCAGTGTTTATTATGTCTCCTGGTTTCACTGAAAAGTGTTTTTTTTCTCATTGTTCTGTGTGTCTGTAAAGTCTTTTTTTATAACTCTAGTTATTCTTCCTATGTTTTTTCTTCATTTTCGTTACCTGAATATCAGTTATTTTTTGTAAGCTATTTTGTGGGTGTGCACAGTATATATGACTACATATGAACTTAGCAGTGTCATTTATTTTTTAAATCTTTCATGTGGTCTTGATAAAATTATTTTTTAAAACACAAAATTTATTAGAAATGCTGTGGGATTAAAGAAGGCCAGTTCACAAACTCTTTTCAGTCATGACTCTTTAAAATTACCTTTCCTTGTGAGTGTTCTCTGATTCCTTTTATTTCAACTCAATCTGTATATAAAATGCCTACTCTATTTAAAAGATACTATAGAAAAAATTAGGTGATCAAATGCCTTATATTTATAATGCTTTGCAGTTTCCAGAACATTTCGAATATGCATTTTTATTTGATATTGTCAATTACTCAGAAAGGTAGATCCGATAAATTTATTTCCATTTCATATGAGGAAATTGAGAGCTTAGAAGTTTGTGACTTAACCAGGGTTGCATAGGTAGTTTGTGACAGCTTATGCATGAACGAAAGCACAAGCTTCAAGTTCTTCTTAATTATCCCGCACCAGCTCTATGCAGTGACTAAGCACACATTAATATATGGAAAGGACTGACCACAAGGGGAGTATGCTTATGTTCATTAAAGCAGTATTTATCTTCATCATTTTTCTTAGGTGCTTACAGGACAGGAGTAGAATCTTTTAAATGAGATGAAAACAGTGCTTTATAGGTTCATATGAATTCCTAGAAGGTGACATGTATATGCTTATATATATGAGGGTGGTTGTATCATATTTTTTTCCTGTTTTGTTGTAGGGTTTATTTTATGTGACTTGAAAATAGTGGTGGGTTGGCATTAGAGACTATGTTTACTGTAATCAGTGTTAAAGATCAATATATTAAAAGTCATTATTTAGCATACACTATTGAATTGATTTTTTACGCGTGGCATTATAGGTTATGTTTCTGCAATACCTTCCTCCATCTTACCCATAACTTCTAAAAGGCTCAGTGCCAGAGAGAACGGAACTGTATCTTTATTTTCTCATCACATCCTCTCTCGAGTAGATAATACTTCCATTGCTCTCATTCCAAGTTGGCTTTGAGGCTCTGCTGTGATTCTAGCTGTTGAACAGGCTTTCAAGTTAGCAATTAGTATTCTGGTTAAGTAAAAATTGTTGTGAGGCTGCCATTCTTACCAGTGCAGCTAAGGTAGTTTTACTGAATCAGTTATTAGGGTCATGTTATCAGAGGCACATGACAATTGCATTTCATAATACTTCCTTAACTATTGATACATGAGGTTTACTAAAAATTAAATCTAAAATTTTGTATTCATAGTTCCGAGGTGGGTGAAACCAATAATGCGTCAAGTCCAATAAAGCCACATTCATGCTGCTTTAGTTTGTCTTTACTATTTTTGACTTAGGTGATTAAAATGCGCTGTTCTGTTAATTAATAATTTCAAAGGAAATGTTGTAATTAGTTCTGTCATAACTGGGAACCATAGTAAGTTAGAGTACTTTAGAAAGCACGATGGTCTATCGGATACCACCTGCTCACTAGAAGATAGCAGTTCTTCTGCCTGGCTCTTTTCCAGTCTCACTAACTGTGTCTAAATGTGTGAACCTCTCACCATCTGGGTACTTAAGTTTCCCTCTAAATTAAAAAAAACCCTCTAATCTGTGTTCTACCTAGCACAAGGAGTTTTCAAAGATAATGGAAGGTTATTGAAGTGATTATGATCAATGTATACTATTTACTGGTTAAAATAGATAACTATTTAAGTCATTGGCTTTAAAACATACTATTTTAAAATAGTAATGTACTATTTAAAAACCATTGACTGTCTTAGTGTATTTTATTGCTTAATCTTAGAACTTTTATTTTTAGAACAGATTGTATTTAAAGACCGGTTTTACTGTTGCATTTGACTGGCATGGCATGAAGCCAGTATGAGCCTAAAGGAAGAATTTGCCGGGTATGCAGGTTAAAGGAGCTCTGGAACTGACTCACCATGGAGTCCAGGCTATCCATATTCATTCCTGCTGAGTGGAGGTTTGCTTAAAGTTGTCTGTTTTCTTTCTTCTCTATCACCTCATTCTAATCGGCGCTTGTCTTTTATAGCTAGAGACGGTCGGATGGCAGCTTAACCTTCAGATGGCTCATTCTGCTCAAGCAAAACTGAAATCTCCTCAAGCTGTTCTACAGCTAGGAGTGAGCAATGAGGATTCGAAGGTAAGACAGGGCAACGCATTGAAAGGATCTATTTTTTTCACCAAGTCTTGTACTCTATTGTTAGAAAGGTCTTTGTTCTCTGTATAGAAAATTTAAACACAACAAGGCTTAAAAAACTGACAGATCTTTATTTGTGACAGATTTTGATGTCACATTTACATATTGCTTTGTTATTTATTTGAAGAAACAGCTTATCTCGTAAGGTGCCTTTCTTGCAAAACCATTTCATAATGTCGTCTTTTAAATTCTGCAATGGAAAAAATTGGTAGTAGCTATATAAAATTATGATTTTAATGTCTTAGATATGTGTGGATATTCCTGAGTGTTTTGTGGTTTAGGCTGAAAACACATGGTAGAGGAAATGTTGTTGTTCAGAGAATACTAGTATGTTAAGGTGACCTGAGTTGTGTTTGTACTTTTGTAGGAGGTGTGCCCATGTTTAAATTCCAGATCTTGCAAAACAGAATTTGGATTAATTTTGTACTGCAGTGATTTCTTCTTTAGTATTAGTTTTGAAAACTTGAATGTGTTATCAAAGTTTAAAGAGTTTTATGGAATACTTTTTCTAACTGTAGTGTGCAGAGAAATGCATATTTCGTTTATCAGTGAGAGCTATTTTTATATTTCTAAATTTCAATTATCTTTTTAAAATAGAAAAGGGAGAGTGACTTTTTCTCCAAACAAATGAAACTTTCTCTCATTTTAAGACACGAAGTAGAAGTGAGAATGAGGTAGAAAGTTATGAGGAAGGAGAGGTTTCTGTGTCTGGATGTGATCAGAGAATAATGGAAGAAATGCTATTATTTATAACATTTGAAGGATATCGAAGGTTGGAAATACTGTTTTGTTAGTACTTTTATTATGTATTATATCATGCACATTTCTGTCTTCCTAAAGTACTGGGTCCAATGCTTAGCCCAGGTTACATGTTGAGAAAATTGTAGGCAGTTAAGTTGGGCCCTTTTTTAAAATAAAACAATTTATTAAATTTATTTGGGTGACATTGGTTAATAAAAGTATATAGGTTTCAGGTGTACAATTCTATAATACATCATCTGTATACTGTATTTTGTGTTTACCACCCAAAGTCAAGTCTTGTTCCTTCAGCATTTATCTACTCTGTACCCTTTGCTACCTGCTTCCCCTTTTCTCTCCGGTAATCACCATACTGATGTCTTTATCTGTGAGGTTTTTTTGTTGTTGTTGCTTAATCCCTTCACCTTCTTTTTCACCCAGCTACAGAACACCCTTCCCCTCTACAAGCTGTCAGCCTGTTCTCTGTATCTATTTCTATTTTGTTTGTTTATTTTGTTCATTTCATTAGATTCCACATATGAGTGAAATCATATGGTACTTGTCTTTTTCTGGCTATCTTATTTTACTTAGCATAATATTCTCCAGGTCCATTTATGCTGTTTGCAAAGGGTAAGATTTTTTTTTTTTACTGCCAAGTAATATTCCATTGTGTAAATGAATCACAGCTTTTTATCCACTCATCTACTGATGGGCACTTGGGCTGCTTCCAAATCTTGGCTATTGTAAATAATTCTGCAATGAACACAGGAGTGCATATATTCTTTAAAATTAGTGTTTCAGGGTTATTTGGATAAATTTCCAGAAGTTGAATTGCTGGGTCATAAGTCAGTTCCATTTTTAATTTTTTGAGGTATCTCCATACTGCTTTCTACAATGTCTGCACCGGTCTGCATTCCCACCACAGTGCATGAGGGTTCCCCTTTCTCCACATCCTTGCCACCTTCTGTTCATTGATTTACTGACGATAGCCATTCTGACAGATATGAGGTGATGTTATCTCATTGTGGTTTAATTTACATTTCTTTCATGACTAGTGACATTGAGCATGTTTTCATATGCCTGTTGGCCATCTGTATGTCCTCTTTGGAGAAGTGTCTGTTCAGGTCCTTTGCCTATATTTTAATTGGATCAGTCATTTTTTTGGTGTTGGGTTGTGTAAGTACTTTACAAATTTTGGATATTAACCTCTTATCAGATAAATCATTGACGACTGTGCTCTCAGATTCAGTGGGTTGTCATTTTAGGTTGTTGATGCTTTCATTTGCTGTACAAAAATGTTTTAGTTTGATTTCGTCCCATTTGTTTATATTATCTTTTGTTTTCCTTGCCTGAAGAGATAGAGCAAAAAAAAAAAAAATTTGCTGTGAGAAATGTCCAAGATTTCACTGTCTATGTTTCTCCTAGGATTTTTGTGGTTTCAAGTCTAACATTTAACTCTTTAATGCATTTAGAGTTTTATCTTATGTATATAAGAAAGTGGTCTAGTTTCATTTTTTTTGCATGTGTCTGTCCAATATTTGCAGCAATACTTATTGAGTAGACTATCTTTACCCTGTTCTAGGTTTCTGCATCCATTGAGAGATACTAATTGACTATAAAGGTGTGTGTTTACTTCTTGGTTCTTTATTCTCTTCCACTGTTCCACTGGTTCTTAGTTTTCCTTTGTGATAGTTATTGGTGTATACACCAAATTTTTCAGACTGTAAGACTCACTGGACCATAAGCTACACCTAGGTTTTAGAGCAGGAAGTTAGGAAAAATTTTTGAAGCAAAAAATGTGGTAAAATACTTAATAACATAAATAACATAGGCTGCTGCCCCCCTACCCCCAAGTGAGCCAGGTAAGCTACATTCGGACTATAAGACGCACCCCCCTTTCCTCCCAGATTTGGGGGGTGGGGAGTGTGTCTTATAGTTCAAAAAATATGGTAAATGCAGCCAATTTCAGGATATTTATTTTGTATCCTGCTACTTTACTGAATTTATTTATCAATTCTAGTAGTTTTTTGGTAGAATCTTTAGGGTTCTCCATATATATTATTGTGTCATCTGCAAACAATGACAGTTTTACTTCTTCCTTTTTAATTTGGATACCTTTTATTTCTTCTTCTTGTCTGATTACTGTGGCCAGGACTTCCAGTACTATGTTGAATAAGAGACGTAAAAGTGGACATCCCTGTCTTCTTCCTGTTCTTAAGGGAAATGCTTTTAGTTTTTGCTCATTGAGTATGATGTTTTCTGTGGGTTAGTCATATATAGTCTTTATTACGTTGAGTTATGTTACTATTATTCCCACTTTGCTGAGAATTTTTATCATAAATGGGTGTTGGATTTTATCAAATGCTTTATCTGCATCTGTTGTTTTGATCATGTAGTTTTTATCCTTAATTTTGGTTATGTGATATACTATGGTTATTAATTTCCAGATAGTATACCAACTTGGCATCCTTAGAATAAATCCTACTTAATCGTAGTGTATGATTTTTAAAAATGTATTGCTGGATCTAATTTGCTAATATTTTGTTGAGGATTTTGGCATCTTTGTTGGTCAGAGATATTGGCCTATAATTTTCCTTGTGGTATCGTTCTCTGGTTTTGGAATTAGGATAATGTTGGCCTCAGATAATGAACTTGGGAGTCTTCCTTCCTATTTAATTTTATGGAATAATTTGGGAAAGATAGGGGCTAATTTTTCTTTGAGTGTTTAGTAGAATTCCCCTCTGAAGCCCTCTTCGGTATATTGGGCATTCTTTGATTACTGCTTCAAATGCATTAGTTGTAATTGCTCTATTCAGCTTTTCTGATTATTCCTGATTCAGTTTTAGAAGATTGTATGCTTTTAGGAATTTATCCATTTTGTGCAAATTGTCCAATTTGCTGGCATATAGTTGACATAATATTTTCTTACAATCCCTTGCATTTCTGTGAAATGCAAGAGAAGTTGTTACTTCTCTTCTGTTTCTTATTTTATTTATTTGGGTCCTCTCCCTTTTTATCTTGGGTTATCTGGTTAAAGCTTTGTTAATCTTGTTTAAATTTTCTAAGAAGCAGGTCTTGGTTCTTATCGGTTATTTGTATTTCTTTTAGACTCTTATTTTGTTTATTTCTGCTCTGTACTTTATTATTTCTTTCCTTTTTCTTATTTTGGGCTTTCTTTGTTCAAGTTCCTTTAAGGGTAAATTTAGATTGTTTATTTGAGAGTTTCTTCTTTCTTGAGATAGGCCTGTGATGCCATGAATTTCCCTCTTAGGATTGCTTTTACTGTGTTCCATAGATTTGGGGTTGTTGAGTTCTCATTTTCATTTGTTTCAAGGTATCTTTTTCTTTCTTCCTCTGATCTCATTGTTAACCCATGCATTGTTTTAGTAACATGTTATTTAGCCTCCATGTCCTTTTGTGTTTTTTAGTTTTATTTTTTGTGATTGATTTGCAGTTCATACCATTATAATCAGAGAAGATGCTTCATATCATTTCAGTCTTCTTAAATTTATTGAGACTTATTTTGTGTCCTGACATGTAGTCTATCCTAGAAAATGTTCCAGGTGCAGTTGAGAAGAATGTATAGTCTGCTTGGGGAGTGAAATGCTCTATAGATATCAATTAAATCCATCTGGTCAGTTGTGTCATCTGAGACCACTGTTGCCTTGTTGATTTACTTTCTGGAAGATCTATCCATTGATGTCAGTGTTGTGTTAACATCCCCTACTGTGACTATATTATTGTTGATCTCTCCCTTTATGTTCATCAAGATTTTCTTTATAGAGCCCTGGCTGGTGTAGCGCAGTGGATTGAGCGTGGGCCTGCAACCCAGAGGATCACAGTTCTATTCCCAGTCAGGGCACATGGGCTGGATTCCAGGCCATTTCCCAGCAGGGGACACATGAGAGGCAACCATACATTAATATTTCTCTCCCTCTCTCCTTCCCTTCCCCTCTAAAGATAAATAAATAAGATTTAAAAAAAATTTTTCTTTAAAATTTAGGTGCTCCTATGTTGGGTGCATACAGGTTTACAAGGGCCATATCCTTTGTTGTATTGTTCTTTTTAACATTATATAATGTCCTTTGTTACCTGTTATGATTTTTTGAAGCCTGATTTGTCTAAGTATTGGTATGCCAGCCCTATTTCCTTTCTATTTGCATGAGATATCTTTTTCCATTATTTTACTTTTTAGTCTCTGTGTA